AGGTACGTCGTCAGGATTTCGCTCAAATCACCAGTATATCTTCTGGGTGATTCGTACCACGTCGCCCATCAGTGCCTCAAGGGACTACGCAGACGATTCTCAAGGGATGTGACCTATCAACGTCTCTATCAACAATTTATGATGGATTACGAGACACTCAACCACATGACGAAGGCATCATCCATCTCCAGTCGTCGCTCACACTTCTACCTACCACATCACGGTGTTCTCAAGCCTGACAGTACAACAACGAAGCTGCGAGTCGTATTTAATGGCTCCAGCGCATCAACATCGGGCTACTCTGCTAACGACCTCATGTATACTGGAGCGAAATTGCATCTGAATATCTCAGATGTTCTCCTCTGGATACGAAGACATCGACACATTTTCGCTACGGACATCACCAAGATGTACAGGCAGATCAAAATTCACAAGGATGACTGGGAGTTGCAACGGATACTCTGGATGGACGATCAACTCAATGAAGTGCCATATCATCTGACAACCATCACCTACGGGACAAAGGCCGCGCCGTTCTTGGCCGTACGGACGCTACTACAACTAGCAGAGGACGAAGGACATAAGTATCCACTGGCTGTGCCATCCATCACTCATGGCAGGTATGTCGATGACATATTTGGTGGTGCAGATACAATTCAACAATTGCAGGAGGTCGCACAACAACTAAAGGGCCTCTGCATGGCGGGCGGCTTCCCACTAGCAAAATGGCATGCAACTCATCTCGACATACTCAAGACTGTCACCGACAGCGAAGACCAAGGCTTACCAATCACATTCGACGATTGCGCAACCAAGATACTCGGACTTAAATGGCTCCCTCAAGAAGATACCTTCGCATTCTCAACGCGAAGCTCACGCAAGGAAAGCAAGCTCACAAAACGCCTCGTCTTATCTGAAGTGGCTCAGATATTCGATCCACTTGGCTTTGCATCACCCGTCGTGATCAAGGCCAAAATTCTCTTGCAGGAGCTGTGGCTGCACAAGCTCCAATGGGATGATCCACTGCCATCCCAGCTCTCAACCCGGTGGCTCTCCATCAGAGAAGAACTCACAAGTCTGGCCAGACTCTCAATACCTCGGTGGCTCAATACATGGAGCGACTCGCAAGTGGAAC